GTGTCAGGATCGCATGCTCTTCGATTACAAAAGGACGCTGCCGCATATTGGCATTGAGTCCGGTTTAATGTAGACATGTAAGTGGAGAGAAGTATTTTGTATACAACCTTAATTTTGCGTCAACGTGTTCAAAGTAACCATATTTCATTCAGACCACAAATCGGGTTGCCCTGAATTCGTTCTCAAGAGCTCAGATTATCAATTGAAATGACTAATTGCGCAGAATCGGTATATCGGACGCCTCATCAATTGCTAACAAGAACGTTTTTTGTTCAGCAGTACTTGGTTTTATCCATCTGCTGCCCATAATTTGTACAGTATTCCGGGCGACGACTTCTTTTGTTAAAAATGCACGCGTCTTGCGACGTCTCATTCCTATCATAACCAATTCAATAAAACATCACTGAATGATTGCCGCAGGCGGAGGATTTGGTTGCGCGATATCACACCTACTGTTGAGAATGCGTCCCGCCATATTGCATTTCGACGAACTAATGGGTCCTTGCAAATGCTTCTTTTGTGACTGGATGTGAACAACACACTTATCGATGCGGCCGTACTTGAATGTTTTACGTCTTGGTCTGAATGATTGAGGCCCTGAGCGCTTGGCTACGTTTAGCCGTGCTTGTGCTGTTCACAACTTTGATTCGTTCCTTAAGGCATAAAATGTAATTAAGATGATTCACTCTTATTATGATTTGTATAACTCAGGTGCGCTCTGCTGTGTCATGCGCAATGAACTACTGTCATGGTTTCATCGTAGCATAACGGGCCTCATTTTCAAAGGTGGAACTCGCCCTTAAATCGTCTCTCGCTTTCAATCACATGCTGCACCGAGCTTGAGACTTAGATCTGCCGCCACATAAGCATCATTTTAAACATGAAAACACGCTACGCGGAGGCCTGCAGAGTAGCCACGAAGACATACTCGTCAGCTAATCCAAAGGGAGTTACGTTTCCTGTGTGGTTTGAATTTAAGCTAACTTTGGCAGCTACCTGAATCCTCCGGAACCGTGCAGCATAACAGAACAGTATAAACTAGCGGGACCACTACGACTGAAAGTGTTGTGAGATTGATGTTTTCAGCGTATTTGTCACTGCGCACGCATAGCTGCTCTTCTGGCGCCCATTCAAGCCACGTTTGAAGTTGTCCCTCGCCTGGCAGGCTGCAAACCACGCCTTCCGGATACTATGCACCAGCATTGCATAAGGCACTGCAAGCCAACATCACGCAACTAACGCAGCAGCGTTTCGTACGCGCGACGAGAGCGCACCTGTCTGAGAACTGGCGATATTGGTAGCCGGTGGGTGGGTGTATATTTGTTATTTATTTTTGGTTGTTCTTGTAGCCTGCATGTTTTTATCTTATGTATTTTTCCACGGGCTTGTAATAGCCACGCTCCATTGTGGATGGCCCCACGGACGTAACAGATACATACAGGCCGCCCAGCAGTCGTCATGAAACAAATTAATGTTTTCCACGGTTACTTTGGCCTAAGAGCAGGTGATTCATAGCCAGGCGTATAAATAGTCACTGAAAGCATATGATTTACGATACGAGCCGTTTCCCTGGAGCTGGTCCAGCACATGTCGCCTCGGTTCTAAACCTAGCCCGTAGCATGTGGTGACTCATTCCCATCCCAGCTAGGGGTAGTACAGCCAACTCATCTGCAGACTTTCATTTTCTTTGCGCGCTTGGTCAGTGAACGCTTCAATTTCGATCACGTCAAGTAGAAATTTCATTCCAAAATGCACGAAAAGCAATTAGATATTGCTCCTGAAGCTCTGTTTCGGCAGATTGGCTATGGCACTTGACCTGAGAGACCTTGGGCTCAAAAGACTTCCGTAGCTGTCAGTTACCATCAAGATCTTTACAGAAGCACATGTGACTCGATCAAATGGGACTCATGATAAAGCTTCTTGGTAATTACTGAAATCGTCCCGCTGTTTATGTACAACTGATGTGATCGTATTAACCTAGCCAAGCGTTACAACCTGCTACAAAGTTGCTCGGGATATGCTTACAAAAAAACGGAGTGGTGGCGCGAACGACGACGTGGGCAAAGGATTACGGCGTCCGCTTCGATTAACAGGAGTTAATTCCGGTTCCAGTTCACCACCACTGCGATCACGAGGTTCAGCGCTGCAGTAACTGTGTAACGCATGCCCACACTTAAATAACCGAGACCGCGTCGATGGTCGGTGCTCCATAACTCACTCGCCCGGTCAGTTCGCTCGGTCAGTCGCGCAGGACTCCAAAGCCGTCGTCCCCCTCTCTTCCTCCACCCCTCCCCCTTCCCCCTGGGCGCACTCTGCCGCGCGCTCGGCCACCCCTGGGGGGGGGGGGGGGGGGGGGGGCGGATGGGCGCACCGTGTCGCCGGCGCCGTCTCCGGGACCGACGCGTCACCGTCGGCCTGTCGCGGGGCACAGCCGACGATGATGCATGCGCCGGCCTACCGGCGATGGATCGCTTCAGAGCGCGCCGTGCTGAGCGACGAAAGATCGTCGCACGCGACGGCGGCGCGAGCGGCACTGTCACCCGCGCACGGCGGACGGGAGGACGGGGGAGGGGGAGGGCTGCTCTGGCACCGTCACGTCTACCGACTGACATTGCGGGATGGCTTGTGGCGTGCGTGGCTTGGGGCGGCCCGGTTCTGCATGTGGGCGCGGAGAAAATACGGGCTTCTCGCTTGCGTCGGTGTATTTGCTAAACAGCGTCTCGCTTAACCATGACATTGATTTGGTGATTTCGATCACGGCTGTGAAGGAAGAATATCCTGCAGCTTGGTTCAGTCACTGGATCAGATGCACTTAAATATCGCTGCGAGCATCTTCCTCTTTCAGACCAGTGCGCACGCCATTGGATAACTTGTCACTGTTGTCACACCCGTCCTGGGGTTGCTGGAAGGTCTAGATGTGCCGACTGCTGAGAGCGACTGTTCGGCAGCTGATACAATAAAATAAGCTGATGAATGTCCCAATTGTGCGTGAACAAAAAGGGTGGTAGCTAGGAGAACAAAATGGCCGTCCTTTTGGGCTCTTTGCACTTAACTATACAATTGATGCCAGCTGTGAAACGTTACTGTGAGAGTCTGACAAAATGTTTCATCACGCGTCAAACACGCTCATAACAAACCTGTTGCGACATACTACAATGTCATGCCAGTTGTCCTGGATTACAGTATAAATCAATTACCGCTCGGCCGTCTGACGTGTTGGCGCGGCAGCGCGCTCTGGGACCCTCTCTCATCAAGAGACCCAAGCCTGCATCATGAAATGTGAGGCACAGTGTAGCTTTACCTGCGTCGATCCCTCGTTATGTTTTAAGTTTCATGCTTTTATTACTCGGTGTGAGTCGTTTGCGTATATTATGTAGAAGCCTTGGAAGTCGCCTACGGTGACACCGTAGACATATTTCCTCGGATACGGCCCCCAGCGGAGGCGCGGGCGCGCACCGGTTTGATGGGTCTACGGCCTTTCGAAACGCGCCCACTACGCGTGCAACGCCCTTGTGATGCTGACATGTGTCGCGAATGTTTAAGGGAACACAATGTTCTGTAGATTTGACACACTGCATATGATTATTCAGGTCTGCTTACAAGGAGATGCGCGTTGTATTGACGCAAAGTATCAGCGTTAGCGTAGCGGTGATTCTTTTCGTTATTGATACCCATGCACACCCATTGCTTGGCAAACAGTGTCGGTGCTTCCAACGTTTGCTCAAAACGAATTCGCTCCGCTGCTGATCCAAATGTATACGCATGGCTTAGCAAACCTTGACAATACTTTACAGAATTTGCACTAAAAAGTGTGCAGGTCAGAGCTGCGGTTTGTTCTGTTCATGAGGCAGGTCGCAGCTGCCCACCCAGCCCACCTCACCGTTTACACTGCTCCAGTGCATTCATCCATGTCGTCCTCACAAGACCTGCTAGCAAGAGCCAATAACCTGAGAGTCGTCGTCCTAACCTACCTAACCTAACCTAATCTAACCTAACCTAACGTCGAAACGGACAGACGAGGCGGGCTTGATGCACTTCTTCCACGCCGTTGACACGCGTGATAAACTGCCAGCCCAACCGGGCCGAGGGTGAGGCAGCCTCGCTTATCGTCTCATATATGTTAACACCTCGCCTGGTTCAGTTGGCCACAGGGACATGAGGCTTCATCTTCCGCGCTCTACATTTTAATGCGAGATCAACTTTATGGTTAATGACGCGAAGCTAGACGCGAGGGTGTCTATCTCATGCATTATTCCTGGCTGGTCGTTTAAAGCTGCCAGATCGTTGCTCATCTGCGCTTCTCCCAAATGTAAAGACGTGCGACTGCAGCCTAGTGTCGACAGTGGCATATTTTAAACCATTTTCCGCCTGAAAACTGTTTTATGCGGAGTGCTGGAAGATTTAATTTGCCTGCCTTTAGGCAGTCTGTGGAGGCGGAGTACAAGTGGCAATTTCATCAACGAAATCTGCGTAGTAATGCGGGCAATTGTCTTTTGCCCTGGTCTCAAATATTCCTTAGCGCACTCATAGCATGCATCAGCTGGCACGTTCTACAGTCGCGATTACGATGCTCCGCCAGTCACGGTACACAGTCACACAGTCACACCAGTCACGGTACGTGCTCCACCAGTCACAGTACACAGTCACACAGTCACACCAGTCACACAGTCACACCAGTCACGGTACGTGCTCCACCAGTCACGACACACAGTCACACAGACACCAGTCACGTTACGTGCTCCACCAGTCACGTTACGTGCTCCACCAGTCACGATACGTGCTCCACCAGTCACAGTACGTGCCCCCCCCCCCCCCCAGTCACGGTACGTGCTCCGCCAGTCACGGTACGTGCTCTACCAGTCACAGTACTTGCTCCGCACCATAGTATATTCTCGATCGGCACGCCGAGACCAGCAAAAGCTCAGCAAAGCTCGTGCCCAATAGGCTCGCTCTACCCCGTCAGTCACGTGACTCCCCGTCGTCTGCGTTGCGCAGGCTCGTTCTTCGGGACCAGTCACGTGACGGCGGCGCTGCAGGAGGCCCGCAGCACGACATCTGTCGGCCTGCGGTTCCGCACTGGTCGCGGCGACGCCCTGCTGCTGGTGGCTGCCGGCCGCACCGACTACCTGCTGATGCTGCTGGAGGGAGGACTGCTGAAG